ACGCGATCTGAAGTGATTGTCGCCTGAAAAGATTCTCCGAAACATTCAAGGCCTCGAACTGTTAAACGTCGCAGACGTTTTTTTAAATTTTTATAAGTCAGTTTATATATATATATATATATATACATTATTCAAGAATTTATTTACATATAAAATATGGTTGCTGAATCTCGAATGATCCATAAAGTGACATGTATTTTGCTTCTTGCCTAAACCGAAAAAGAAAAAAACGATTCTCGAAAATCACGATGAAAAACGTGTTTATTCCTAGGATATTTATTGTATTTTTTTTCCTAGGTTTTTTTCTAGGTTCCCTGTTGAAGACTACTGGCAGGATTAATTAAAAGACAATGACGTTTAAAATTTTCGTCTGTGATATGCGCCCATGGAACAGTATCGTAGACAATACTGAGGGGAAGGAAAGGGAGCCATCAAGAAGCCAGGGAACTATGTAATCTGTTAATCCTCTCTGAGCATTTACAGTCGTTTTTAATTCGTTTAATAGGGCGCCTGTCGATGTTGAAGATTGCCGAAGAGCAAACTGAAGCTCAGACGGTCACGTTTGGTCTGCCCTGTCTTTACCAATCGAATTGTTGAACATCGTCTAAATTAGAGTCGTGTTAACCAGCGGAGCTTTTCCTATGGTAATCACGCTCAAGCACCATTGGTTTTGTACAAGGATCTGTCAAGAAGGAAGAAATGTCACTTTTGTGAAGATGGTGCATAAACAACAATGGTGGAGTACACTTTCGAATTTAAATATACATACGGATCTAAGGATAAGATAAATACTATAATAATTTGAAACCTATTGAAAATGGTTTCTTCTTCCTGACTAGCTAATTAAGCTAGCAGGCAGCAATTTTTTTTTTGTAGTAATTGTCTTTTTTCCATGATAAAATATTCAGCAATTTAGTAACTTAATTCAAATGGTAACGGATTTTGTCTGTGTCTTAGACGTTGTTCTTTCTTTGGGTTATCAATGCTCTTATGGGCCAGGTTGTCAAGTTGCTTTAGTGATTGTTCTATGTTTACCCAACAATTTCAATGATCAAACGAAGAATACACAAAAAGATCCACAAAAAAGACCGTTTTCAATTCAGAAGATTAACTAGTTAGCTGTCAAAGTATACAGCAAGCAGTAGAAAGGCGGGCTCCCTTCACTGAAAATTCAAGTGAAAAAGAATCAAAGGTGCCCATGTTGAAGATTTTTTAGAAAAACGTTTATTACATTAGCTTGTTGCATTAATAATAACTATTCTGTTATATATATCACAACGGTAAAGTCTTTTGACAATTGGAGGATCTGCATTTCACATCAATAGGACAAAATAAAATCGTAGCAGACTTGACCCTGAGATATATTTGAGACAGAGGCATCGCTTCTAATATTCTGATAATATTATATAGCGGTATTAATCAAGCCAGCCATGGTTCCAGCTAAGATTTTTTAAGCTAAGATTCGATAACACTGTATTATAAGGGATAGAGAAATAGTATCTCTGTTACATTTACATTGTCAGTTAAATCTTCTTCTTATTCAACCATTCTGCTGTTTTAACAGATATTAAATCAACACTCTTCAATACACATATCTACATAGCGTTGCCTATTGTCGAGGATTTCATAAAGCAGCTTAACGAAAATAGGCCAGTTTTAAAAAAAAAAAAAAAAAACAAGAGGGTAAATCTTCTAAGTAACTGATAGCCAATTTCGAGGTTACCTTAACTCGTACGCAATCCGCAGTGGTCGAGTTGCATTTACACTATACATCTCAGCAAAAATATACTCATCAGCTATACGAAAGATGTTATTTCTTTTTTATTATTCTGTATGCGTCTAGTGACGGTTAATTGTTTCAACTATGCGATAATCATTACTAACCTGAAGTTAATAGGTGACTGCTAGAAAAAAAAAAAAAAAACGTTATTTCAAGTATTACATTTTAAAACTTAACTGTCTTGAACTTAACATAGTTCTATTCAAGTTTTACACAAGTTTACTTTCGCACAAAACAACATAATAGTATTTATCTTAAAATCATGGCGAACTGTTATCTCTATCTATTTCGCTTTTTTTTTCCCTCCATGTTTTCGTTTTAAGGCAATGGCTTTTCCTGTCTTGATCGTGATCTACTTGATGCTCTTTGTAACTTGATTTTGAAGTTTTTTTTGAAAACAGTTTCCATTGCCCAGATGAGGTACAACCTAACGAGTATACCCAATTTCCTGCATTTAGTTCTGCGAGAATGGAATGAAGGTTTTCAGCAGTCGTATATTAAAAAAATGTACCATGTTTCAGTTGTCATTTTTGTAGCTGCCCTTTTACACGTCAGGCTAAGTTAGCATATTTACGCCAATTTAAAAATTGGCCCATCTCTGTAGGTGCAATGCCTTAGCTCCCCGGATATTTTTACATGTTTACTGAACCTTTTGCACGTCTTTGCAAGAACCAATGATACTAAATACCTAAGATAAGGCGCTGTAAATTATATAGAAGGGGCAGAATTACAGCAAGTCATGAACAAATGCTCACTATATAGGACGCTGCTTAGGAATTTGTTTAACGTGACATATCAGACCTGATAAGCGTTTTGTAAAAAAAAAAAAAAAAGCCATTATCCTTAATGCAACCATTCTGCAGCTGCCCGGTTTATGAAGAAAAGCACCGTATCGCTAGAAAGCAACATCTGATAAAAGTTCATCTGTGGCAATTCTACTGCAGTCCTCAAAACTAAAGAGTCTCATGTAAAAAATGATTGAATGTGCCACTAGTTCGACGGGAAGTTTGAAATGATACGAAAGTCAGGCTCCAGAACCAAACTTGTATAAGACATGAATAAGTTGATGTTATTTCTAAAGGGTTATTGAAGTGGGAAAGCTATGTTTTTTTGCTAAAAAAAAAACCGATTAAGGCCAGTTGGCTGTGGTAGGAGAGAGAGAAAATACGTGGCTTCAGCTATAGATATCCTACCTCTAATACCTAACGTCTCAGCTAGGCTGCGTTCGAGAAATACGTCATGCCAACTAAAACTTCAACCGCAAGGGTTGCTTTTTTGTTTTCGCTTTTATTTCTCAAACCTTCCTACACGGAAACTCATAAGTCCAGGTTCTCTGCTTATTAGGCCCAGGGTCCACATACTCGAGGTCTTAATAGGTAAGAAACTTGCGCGGCGTGAGTTTCTCTAGGTAACAGATTTCGCGCGAAGGTGCACGCTCGTTGATTCTTGACTCGGATAGGGGAACAGACGTTCGAATGACTCGATGTCCAAATGTAGTAGACACAAATGGATGCGTAACAAAGAGGGGGCGTCTACGTTCACAAAAAAAAGTGGCTCGGGGGATTCTTCTCTGTCGCCTCATTGATGTAGATTCGTTTCATATGAGCGTAAACTAAATGTGATAAATGCAAACGCTACAAGATGTTCCTTACTGTTATAAAATTACATACTCATCGTTAGACGCCGTATAGTGTCACCTAAATATGACCCAGAGAGCAATCGTGTACGATATCGCTAGATGTCTTATACCCATTATATGCCGTAAATATATAAAATAAATGCCGTAAATATATATGCTATAAAAAGCGGAAAGAATTTCCATTTATCGAACACTGAGCGGACCTCAACAAATGAACACAGATGAATTCTGCTTCAGCTTTTTATCTTTCATGTCCATCGTGTTACAATGCGCTCAAAAGGTCAAATAAGTAAGGTATAGCCTAACAGTTAATAGACCTATAGGGAACTAATATCTGAGATTTTCAGCTGTCGTTCGCTGCGCCAGCAAGTTCATACTACAATTCAAAGTACGGCCTATAATCGTAGTTTTCCTACCATTCAGATAACGAATAACGTGTGTGATTATAGATAAAATGAAAAAAATTAACATTGATGACTATAAAAATCAGTTAACGAACTTCATTGTCGCCACTAAATCGCGTGAGATGAGACTCTGGTCTGGACTCTGGAGAAACGGGTCTAGAAAAACGTTTTTCGAAAATTTGTCGGAGCCATTTTGTCAGCTTTCGCGTTTGTTTTGCTAAGGGAAATAGTGTATACCTGTTAGCGAAAGATATCAAACTCCTATTTAACACTGAATTTTTTATACAGTTAGGACTCCCAATGTAAACTTCTGTAAACTATGAATAATCACAAAACTAACATACATGTAAAAATTTTTTATAGCTAAACAAAATGTAATGAAAAAAAATTTAGGTTGTTTATGACTCATATTATATTCAGTAAATAGGTAGAGCTAAAATACAATAGGTCGAAATTCTGCTTTTTGTACTCTGTTTCTGCTTCCGAGCGTATGTGAACGAATCTTTAGGTCAATCTCGCGATGGAACACGCCACGATTTTCCCAACCAATGTCGCTTCGTAACTGCATCGGAACTCATAAAAATAAGGGCCATAATCAGTAGGCTCGCTTTTTTAATGCCGAGGATTGTGCAGGACATGAAAAGAGCATTATAAGAGGCTTCCGCAGAGCAAATAATAGTTAAGAATACTTACCCTTGCAGTGCTTTCTCCGAAGTTCAGAACGTGAAGCTAGCGTTGACAGGACAGATCGGCCTGCCACAGCTATACCATAAGGCCATTTTAGAGCGTTGGTTCAAGACGAAGCGCCGGGACCACTAGCCCAATCTCTGATTAGCAAAATTTCGGGTGATACAGGGCCAAACCACGTGATGCGTTTTGAATAAGAAAAAAAAGGCATATTCGCGTTGTATAAAAGGAGCAAAAAGTATCAGGGACATCTTTTGGCGTAAGATAGAGTGTTAGCAGCGTGATGTTTAAAGAAAGCAATATTTTTCCGAATGAAAATGCATTACGTATAGTTGTCGAGTTAAATTATAGCCTAAATATTATATCAACTTTATGTTATTGGCTTCGGAGCTTTATTAAGTAGCACTAAGTTCTGCCATCGACCAGTGTGATATTGTTAGAAATTAAATTCTAGCGGTTAATTTTTCATGACAATTCGGATTGATTACAGCTGGCTCTGGTTTAGCATGGTGTCCGATAGTCTGGGACGGCATCTCCTGCTGGCCGCCAGTACCGGTAGGCGAATCTGCTGAGAAACCTTGTAAGCCTCTGCTCGCTAATATTGGAAGAACGCACCATATCTATGACCACACAGGTAAATAGTACATACTTTTATCTCTAATCTGCCTTACGTAATTCGGTCTCGATCGCACCATATAACGTTTCGAAAGCCATTCAAACGAGGAATGATCTACGAAGCGCCTATGGTATAAATTCCAAGTGCGGTCTATTTCCAGCTTATCCTAGCGCGATATTTGTGCGCCTACTAAAGCAACTCCCACGCGAATTAAGCGTAAAAAAGCACAACGTAGACAATCCGTGTACTGATAATTACGAAAACATATGTTATATATTGATTTGGGACTCTGTCAGGAATGCTGTTTCGTACTTTGGCCGACTAGATCATTGTATGGTAACACTAACAACTTCTCTAGCTGCTCACTGTAAAATAGGATTGTTATAAACGGTTACTAGTACTCCCTGAAAATGTGACGCATTTGTTTTGTACACTTCAATTATAGGCATAATAATAATAATAATAATAGAAGTCATAAAGCTTTCTTTTTTTATAATTGAGCTCTATGTGTCCTGAGTTGTCTAAGTAGATATTGGCATCTAAATGATGATAACCTAGTTCGTTTCAAAGGAGTAGTTACAGATTTCAACTTAAAACTCTAAACAGAAAACGTATTTCAAAAATCCATCCTGTGGTATATATATATATATCTATGCAACATGTTTGATGCACGTAGTGATAACGCGCCCGGTTACGGGGAAACGTTGGTGGCACCTTTTTCATTCAGTAAAATGTAGAGATTGCTGGCTAGATCTACGCCGGAGACCTGTTAAGTTTAGTAAAGACGGCGAAAGTTGCTAACCCGGCAAAGTGGACAAAAATCGCTTTTGTGACAACTACTTGCCACAATCTGTGCCAGCCTCTTCTAGAAAATGATCATCTTAACGATTTACTTGAAAATTATTTGCAAAGTTCACGACAACTTACATTACGATATACGGTCTATGTCCCATCCAAGACAATGTTACGTTCCAGTATGCCGTTCGAACCACTTGGAAGTGGTACTATGTTACAGAAGCAGGCAGAACACTACGGGTATGGCCAAAACCAATCGATCGTCTTTAGTTGAACTTTCATCGTATAGAAGCTGACTGTAAGAATGAATATCGGAAAAACCGCGTTTATAAGGCTTCTTTGAAAACGGTTGCGTAAGACCCTTTTCAGCTGCCTCCGTTAACTGTGAAATCTCTGTTATATATATATATATATTTGTACGACTAAAATACTGAAAGATTTTACAAAACAAACAAGAAAAGAAAAAGTTTACCTGTCAGGGCAGTGAGGGTTATTAATTTCGTCTGAGCCATTTCCGGTGTTGGATTCAATGAACAAAAGCTGGGCTAGGGAAATCCGTTGGAAGTGGGGTACGGAAACGACGACTGCTAATAAATGAATTAGTTTTTTTTTGCGTTAAATTCACATTATAAACCTCGTATTGAGAAGATGGCTGACTAAACGACCACTATATTACAGTTTAGGTAACGCTAACAAAAATTAAACATTCTTTTACGGCACATCGTCTTGGCCCACATTTGATTTTGCAAACTTTCCTTCTTATACAAAAATGGGCACAATATTTAAGGTTTTTTTTTTTATTATACATAAAAGTATATAGGACGATGCCAACCTCTAAATACTTAAATATCAGATGGAATTATCCATACGGTAGAAATTAGCAGAACGATAAATGTAAGGAACATTTTTTTCTCTCAATTGCCCTGTTTGAATATCAGAAATCATTTAGAATAGAAAAACATTTTTATTAACTGAAGTAATTTTGGTCGCACGTTATATGATAACACGTCACATTGGCTCTGTGAATTATAGTTGAAAAAACCCAGCAACATCACTATCATGGCTCCCAGATTCAAAACCCAAAAAGCTGGCTCAATAGTTGATCCATATGATGGCTGAGGTAAAAGCGTTCAGTTTAACGTACATTACGAGCACACATTATATGTTTTCCCCTTTGAGCTTTGATTGACGGCAATCGACCTGCTGTGCAAAGCGGTGCCAGAAGCACATTGTTCCAAGCCATACTTCCAGAGTAGCTAAACTCACTAATCTTGACATATCGCTACGCGGCAGATCGGCTATGGCCAGGATGGCAACAAAACCCTGCTGCTCGACGGTCTTCAAACACAGAACAGTTTTACCAAATAAAACGATACAATCATCTTCATTATCATATTGTTGCATAATTGAAAACCCATTCTTCCTGTGTTCCACTTTTACTCTTTTTTTCTGTAATACATTAAGCAGCATTGTCCTCGAATAAGAATACCGCGTATATGGACATTGATTGAAAACGAATGACGGGTTTTATCTATTAAATGCTGACTTTCTGTCATTGTGACCGTTGTTCAGCTTCCGTATCAGCTCTAGAAGCGCGGCGTTATTTCCGCGCACTTTAACCATTCGAGAGGCGCTGTTTATTGCCTGCGCTGTAAAGTAAAAACACGACGACGGCAACCGCAAGAACTATAAAACATCTCACACCCGGAAAGAAGTGGGGTAATTAGTGCTAGAAGGCCCACATTGTGGCTATAGCGTGCCTCTAATTAATCAGGATCAGCGGCTGGATGGATGGGTTCAAACCTCTGAATGAGCAACGATTCGAGTCCCCTTTGTGACGCTTTATATGCTCATTTTGTTCGCATGGACCTGAACACAGCTTGAACATAAATGTACATTTAGGTGAAGGTAACCAATGCTTAAAGTCTAAATATACATTCGAGTTGAATTTCTTGGGAATAAACAGGAGCTCTGACGTACTATTAAATGAGCTGTTGAGTCTGTAATAAAACTAGACGAATAGTTAGATGATTTTTACTAGATCCTTTATAGCCGATTTTTTTTTAGCCCGGAGCCCGATGCTGAAACATCGCAACAATAAACTAAACGCAGTTCACACCTGACCCACAGTTAGGTAATAAATAGAAAGTAATTTTCGTTCCGCTCCCTGTTTATTGTCTGTTTGAGGCCAGCCACGTAGAAGTGTGGATTCCGGCAGTTATATGCCATATGCAAATCGGTCTTGGAAGTTTATATATACATGTGTGACCGTTGGCAGCTTCCACATATCAGTGAAGCAGCTGGCACTCTGCGGCCTGGTTGTGAGAAAGCGCGTATAGTCAGCTATGGCTACGATCGTGTTCGACTTGAAGCGAAGTCCCCCCGACATTTGCAATCAGGACTTTTTGATAAAACGAGGCTTTTATTTTAGGAAATAATAGGAAATTTTTCACTTGGATTGAGATCGATTAAATCGTAAACGATTCCCGGCGCGGCAATTCGAACTTCATTGAAGTATTTTATACATCATATAAGTTACTAATGGATAGAATTCAAGACGGCCAACATCGTCTGCTAGTGCGTTAAATCAACGGGCTTTATTTTTGTCGTTTTCTATGTGTTTCAGATGCCCATGCTTATCGTGTCTGTGGGCAAAATGGCCGTTGGATGGAGAATCAGACCAACTACAATGCGTGCGTAGCACTGATCAATGTATGTCTTTTTCAATAAGTTTACTAGGAAACTGGATTAGGAAAATGATGCTAATAGTTTGTCGTCATAGTTCCTTGCTTGTAGCGAATCATAGATCAGCTACTATCATTTGAGGGTATATTTCTGTGTTGTAGTGGTATACATATAGAGCGTTCCCTCTAACTAAAACCAACTTTCTGATCCGACTGAGGAGGTTATCAGAATTAAATCATCTCTTACTAGCTTTATGTAATAATGTTCGAAGAGGACATACAATAGGATTCGGGGAATCATAAGGTAGTGGCATATACACACAAAGTTCATTTTGCGTAAGAAACGAATAGGAAATACTAAAAAAAATTCGTAAAAAAAATTATATAACAAAGATTGACAACGTTAGCCCTATCTAGCCCAATGGTTGCCTGACAGCACCGACGTTAGAGACTAACATCATGTTAGATTCCAGCATCGATGTTGAAACTGTACAGCGGTGCAATAGTTAGGCATTTACTCACTAAGTTCAAAAACGCTTGGAAACAAGCATCGTATTTTGTTTCACTCTAGGAGCCATCTGATTCAAGCAATTTAAAGCAACTTAAAGATGGAAAGTTTCTACAATCAGAATGTATACTAGCCATGATCTTATTATTTTCACTATAATCTACAGATGAATATGCTTACAGACACGTTTGGATATCGTCGTTCGTTTTATTAATATTGTATTATACATCTTTTAATAATAGTATATATAAGAAGTAAACGTTATTTTATTGGTTTAATTTCTTTCAAAGCTTTTGTGAGCAGGACTGCTTACCCTAGGGAATCTATTTTTCCTTTTAATCGTTTACCTTCCGCTTTTCATTCTAACGAATTTCTCTGAAACAACAGGATACTTGAATACTTTTATTAGTACATATATATTATATGTACCGAGAAGCGACTGGCATAGTACCAGGACACTGGTACAAGATTTAGAGGCTACCTTATTATATTATAGTACAGTTTATCACAGTTCGAAAAGCAGGTATTTAGTGCATCTTACCCGTAACCGTCTTTCGTTCGATCGTTAGGAATTTCGTAGTTGGTACTAGCGGTTCACGGTGTAGGATATGCCCCTTTTAACATCTCGTTTTTCTGAGACAAACAATAGCACGCTGACTAATCGCGAAGGTCTGTTTTACTCAACTAAGGACACCTCAGCAGGCTTCGTCGGACAGTGGAACATTATTTAACAAGTTGAAAAATATCTCGACAGTTTCATAGTTATGAGGCCAAGCAGCCACCCCAGAAGCCCTGACGGGGGAGAAATTTCTCATATGATTTTGGCTTCGGCGCGGGTACCACGTGGTATCGACAAGGGACCAAACAATGAAAAAAAAAAACTTAGATTTGGGAAACACAGTCTATCTCAGGACAACCGTCGTCCCGGTTGGAGAAGGTGGTTGCTTAGCAGTGATATAATTTTTTTCTCGTATAGTTATACGAGTCGTGTGTACTATACACTACAACATACACGAAAAAGACTTAAGAAGATTACATTAATGTCTTTAGCTTAGCATTCTGATGGGACGACTAATCGGATCATTTCTTCATTGTTTTGGGTAGTAGTCAAACAGTGCATACATCCGCGGTGACTAGAATAAACTATAATGGTCCATTGAACCGCTTTCCGTCGCATGGATTGTACTTGTCGAATTTATTTTTTCATGTTTCCAGGCACGATGCTTCCGTCACTAGGCATTATTTCGAATTACTTGCTTACAGTATGGAACGAAGAGTGTCTACGCCGAAACACACGTTATATTGGTCTAGTTGAGTTTGTATGAACTCAACTTTTTAGTTTTCAAACATCTTGTAAATGATAATAGCGACATCACATCTGTAGTAAACTTCCGCGCATCTAGAACACCTACGCTCGTCGTCAGCTTCGTGGATGGCCTGTTCCCTTCAGGGTCCGTTTTAGAATCCGTGCGCAACAAAGCCAGTTGTTTGTACATCGCGTCAATGCAGCTAACTAGTCCCTTTCTGTTCGCAGTTCCTAACGACACTAGAATCGAAAAGTGTCCGTTGATATCCACGAATATTTGCCCCTAGTTCCTAAAATTCGTCTTAAAGGCCTCTTTTGCCAGAAGCTTAAAGGGGTGACGCAGGCCTTCGGATAGTAAATTATGACCTCTGGTCGGCTATAAGATAAGCAAGGCGATTATATGAGTAACTTCAGCGTTCTCTTGAGGAAGGAGGTTTTGGCGTGACTTAACTGTTCAACGCTCTTCGCTTAAGATCTTCCAAATGGCGTGGATCCTATACGTTGCGATGTGATTTATCTTGATGTCAAATAAGTCAAGATCGGTTGCAACTTTGTGACCGCCGCGTAAAGTCGGCCAGAGCTTAACACGTGAGACCTGTTCGGCCCATATATCATCAAGTAATCCACACACAGGACGACTTTGACTAACTTTTTCGGTACCCTTATTCGATCCAAGGGGCTTTTTAGTAAAATGTAAATTAGGAATGGGTTTAAGTTGTCCCCGTGGGTTAGACCAATCGTTCGTGTTAAGAGCGCGAGTTAGGCCACTTAATCTCTAACATTTTAATAAAAAAAAATTTTTTAGAGAGCTGCACCGAGAAAACTGAGCGCGTACCTAAAGACATTCATTTCGGCCACCTTGCCATACCGCGTACAGAGAATTGTGTAGTGTGGTCCTCTCGCGCCAGCCATTAGGACAGTGCATGCCTTTCTGTAAAGTATTCTCTTTGGAACCTATGTTTACTACGTTAGGATAGGATTCGGTTTCGTAGTCAGTAGGCCGGGGAGCAGCTTATAACAAACGCTTTTGTCCTTGATCTTTAACCACGATAACGGCGTTGTTGCATTTCTTTTCTCTTAGGGATCAAGTAACTGCTAAGCGTCGCGGGGCAAACCGCCGAGCTGCAGTGGTGTGTTAGCCACGTGTATGGCTAACGTAGTGTATCGGTGATCATGCGGGCCCCTAGCCGTTCAAGGTATTTTGGCCGTAGTCATTGAGAACGAAAACTGAAGCGCAGAACGTATTCTAGCCAGAGGCCTGATACCCACCTAAGCCCTCCGAGCAAAGCAGCAAGCATTAAACTACCAGCTTTTGGAAGGATAAAGGGGCCGAGCAATGACCTGAAAAATTCCGTAAACGCATTTCAAAAGCTTGTCCATATCTAAACAATGGAGCTTGGAATTTGACAGTCCACACAGGTACAACTTGGACAGTGAGGTCTTCTGGTACGGGTACGTGAGCTTGAATACTTGCAGTCTCTGGAAATAAATGATTTCTAGTCTTAGCCATCCCTGGCTACATTCGTTGCAAGTATATGGTAAACTAAACTCCCTGTTTGCCCCAGGAAGGCCAGTATTGAGATCATATTGAAGCACTTAGCAACCGTAATCCGTAAGCGTGTATTGAAGGCCCGTAATGTGGCTCGAATTTGGCTGGTTTAAAGTAATGCCTGATGGCTTAAGATCCGCACGCAACATACAAAGAAGCACCTTTTTGTAATCAAAGCAGGCCTTGAAATCGATGGATATGGTAAGCTCCATATATGACTCTTCAGGGCTGGACAATGCATAAAGCAGACATGTGGTAGGTCGAACAGACTAGCTGTCTAAATCTTTAGTACGAAAATTCATGGATCTTTTTTTAGGTCTCTCAGAAAAGGAGCACTAAAGTTGCTGCCATTTTGCAGTTTTATGGTGCCATTCCTAGCTTGAAGTTTGGCGTTGCTGCATACTTTATGATTGTTCTCGCGAGCGGCAGCGCTGACTGGAGGCGACGCGTGCTAAAACCGGCTCTCCTGTCGTCGGTGATACCAGAGTCTGCTTTACGAAATCCTGGGCCATCGGCTCATCGTTACGAAGCTGACCCGGCTTTTGAAACGTTCAGCTCGGAAAATCCCGTTGAGCCTACTGAGTTAGCTGTTCAAGCCTTCTCAAGCTGTGGCCGTTGTTAACCTTCAACTGAACACTGTCTGACTCCTCTCCACCCGGTTGTCAGAATTCCCATTCCTGCAGAAGGCTCTATCCTTCTGGCAATATTATAGCCAATCTTTGGCCACCTAACCTTTACAGATGTACCGTCCATTCTTGCCGATTGGTCACTGTGACATGAAGAGCGGACGAGTCGAAAGTTCTGCATTTTGTTGATCGCTTCCTTCGTAGTAATCCAATTTAAGACTTTGCAATCGTCGGTAAAAGAATTCATGTGAGCTCGAAGAACGCCTTTTTAGACAGTGTGAAAGAAAATCGAAGGTTTGGCATATCCCTTGGGTTCTGTTCTAATCACTGCTGTGGTGACAGAGTAGTTGTTTGCTGGACTTAGGGACATATTCATTTCGGAATGAGCACCTTTTATTCGAGCCGGAAATCAGCTGTCTGAAGCAATGCTAACACAGTCCACCGTACAATAGTCATCCCCGTGGTAAGTTAATGAATAATGTATGTGCCTGCTAATCTTTACGATATCGAGACATCGAACCCGAGCATGTCGTTCGACTATGCCTTCGAACTATGCCTGACGGTGGTACTGGACCTATAAATAAAAACACAGAGGGTGCAGTAGTCGAAACTTATATTTCGATTTGAAACCGGTTTATATTTTTTTTGCTAAAGTCAGTCAAACGTCTGTACCAAAGGCGAAATTGAAGGTATTGACTGGCAAGTGAAAGGATCTCGAGCTGACCTTATCCACAAAATTCCAGCAGACTTGTTACAGGTACTTCGAAGCAGTCAGATAGCTCAAACCGTGTATCAAGATTATGTATGGTGTCATATCCTTTAGTTCAAATTGAAAATGACGGTGTCTTGAAAATCGAACTTCTAATATAAAGAGAAATATAGTTCGAAAACAGTTGCTGTTACTTAGATCATGTCACGCTTGTTTATTTTAGGAAAGCAATCAATGTGTAAGTGACTTTCAACCTCGCTCACTTTCTGACAATGATCTACAATCTTCTACTGTGATCAAATATGAGAAAGACCTGTCATAGCTTTGCCGATATGAAGTACATCGTGCTTGCCTGAGTTGCGGCTCATTTGGCCAATTATATATCATCCGCAGCATTTGTTCTCCAAAAGCAGGTTTTATCAAAAGCACCTGTGCCGAAACCATCAAGTGCCTGCCATACAATACGACTATTTCAGTTTAAAACATAGCTCTTATGAGCTTCTGACATGCTTCTTATATTTTAAAAAAAAAAAAAAAAAAAAGTGGCTGTTCTGCATTCTTAAATAGCTTCAATCACAAAGTATCTATCTGTCTTTGATCCTTTTCTGAGGAAAATCTACTGGTAACAGAAAGGTTAGTCGGAAGAACAACCTCTGGTTTGTTCACTGCTTCAGAGATGATTCCGTTGTGGCTCGAACCGCATTTTTTTTAGAAAAAAAATGCAATTGCTACAAATATAAGTATTCGGGATTTTCTTAAACCAAGTGAAACCTAGGTCATACTTTTGCGAGATAATTACCATGCTTATTGGAATCACTTGGAATGAATAACTTCAAGCAAGTTTTAAAGCTCGAATCCAAATTTTTTGTGTGAGCCATATTTGAGCGGAACTCCAAACAGTCTCGTAATAAATAAATGTTTTTCCGCATTTCTATTTAAAAATATTTAAAAAATGTAACATATTTTTTCGGGAGATGGATAAGTTCTGAATCAGGATATGGTGAGCCACAACAAACTGGCAACGGTCGCTTCTTTTGACTGATAGGGTTTAGAGTTTTGAGGTGTGGAGGTGTTTTGAAACGATTTCCACTAACACTCTGCCCACACGGGGTTGTCTGTACTGCTCTAAAGATGGACTATTAGATCAAACAATCTAGGAAATGATTTACTGAAGAAAAGCTTAGAAGGCGGTACATCAAGGCAGACGCCTTGTCCCGTGTACCGTCTTTCATTTTTTATTATCAGTCGCACATATGGTTGGATGATCTCTTCCTGAAGCTGGGTCGCCGAATTGTCATCGGATTTAAACGACTTTAATAACTCCAATAGCTATTCCCCTTACGTGCCTCGCTCAGAACATAATCGTGACCCCTTTGAAGGCGATGGCTTGTTTATTCAGTTTGTCACATCTGACATTATTAGGCATATATTGTAGGCATGTAAGCTTTATAACAAAGAGAAGCTACGTGTCAGGCGTATGACAAAATCCACATTCAACTATAACAAAATATTCTATAAGAGAATTACCAGTTATCAGAAGGCTGCTTTAGTTTACCAAGCTAAAAGTTACGTAAAGTGATAAAGTACGTATATTTGAGTTTCTGTTTGATCGATAGTAGTTAGGCTTAGTTCACTATCAGCTCCAATCGGGTAAATCGAAATTCTGAAAATTCTGGAAAGGATCTGGTCGCTTTTGCTACAGCCTGGATTTTTCTCTCCGCTAAAGGTCATATCTAAGTCGCCAGGTAAATTTACAAGCGTTGGCAGCGTTCGAGAACCGACATAATTTTTGACCAACCAAATAGAAATTATCTTTAGAAAAAAAAGAAGAATTTTTAGAAAATTAGAATCGGATTCATTGTTTCTTCAGAAACAGTATCAATTTAGCCTCAGAGGACTTGAAGAACGCATAAGTAACATGGCTCACAAGCCATCTTTACCCGCATATAATTTAATTATGTAACATTGTTGAATACAAGATGTCATCAAGTTGCTTATAACAATTTGATCTAACTAGATCAAATGTAAGTACCATAACTAAACGTTTCTTGGTGATCGTAAATCGACGATTCCTGATGAACGGGTCACGAGGCGACTTATGGTAGGCCTGATCAGGGTTTGTTCAGAGTGAATTAGATAAGAAATTGAAAAAAAGGACCGAAAGAACCCACGATCTCTCTGAACAAATTTAGTGAAGACCTTATACAGCGACGTTACTTTGGTATAATTTTTAACACCTATTCAGCGTCCCTGAGTGTTTGGGTGTACTACCGTACACCCGTTAAAAATTTCATTTATCTTTACATTTATTTTTCAAAAATTTTTACATTTATTAGTGGTCCAAACATAGGTTTCTATAAAAATACGTCCAGTAAAAAGGCTTTCAAATGTTATTAAAATTATTGTGATTATTAAAATAACAACAATTTTTGCCATAAATAAAGTATATCTAGACACAAAAGATGAGCGCCGTTGTCAACAGGCCCTACGACATAGGTAGAATTTGTTGCCTTCACAACGATAAGGTTTACCTATCTTTGGGTTTCTCCCGCAAAATGCAACATTATTAAAACATAACGTGATGTTGTTTGTGACTTTATGGTCAATTGGTGATAAAGAATTAATTTTATGTTAGCCGAATAATTCAAGCACTCGGGTAAATCGTTCTCCGTCTCATCGAGCGAGCTGAACTCCTTCTACAATATCTAGCGGAGAGGCTCTGATGTTCTCCGGCAGAGGTCGCTTGGTTGTTTTTAAATATACTCTAATAAAAATCGTTAGAATTAAGCAATTCGAACATCTATCCTATTTGTTATATATTTCTAATTTTAAGACCTTTAATTCGTCTGTTGGGTTTCAGCCATCGGCGGTGTCGCCGCCATCACTCGCTATGACTGTGACGGGTATTCTTCTTGTATTTTCTTGTATTTCATTGATATTCCTCACCGCTACAGCTTTCATATTTACGCATTTCAGGTAGGGTAATCTTTGAAGAATATTTGAGTCGGTAAGAACCAAGCACCTAGTGAATTATTAGAAAGTTAAGTAAAATTAGTAAATAAAAAGTAGATAAGATATGTCTATTAGCTATCCACTATATATCAAAGTGTTTCAGACGTGTAAATTATTACACATAGGGAATATGCTATGCAAACTGGGAACTTCTTAACCACTGCCGTAAATACCGAACCCGTGTAGGCATCAAGGTTCCTGCCTAAACGCATTGAGGCCCTTGCTTTGAGAGCTGCGATAAATTCACAGATATTAGTGAGACATAAGAACGTCCTGTCGCAGGATGCTCCATTAGTGTGTGGCACATCTAAGTCATCACTTAGATTATAATTCAAAATTGCGTCTACTAAAAGGTACTAATTAGTCAAGTGAAAATCCAGCAAAGGCCATAAAAGTCTAGAAAACTAGTAGATGCTTTGTACTGCAATTACACGGCATATAGTTTTTCAAAGCTACCCAAAATTTTATGGCACCAAAAAACTCGTCTGTGGACAGCGTACGATGTCAAATTTCAAAACGTTTAATGCATTATACATAACTTACCATTAAAACAGTCTTTGTGAGGCATTGTCTTCAGATCACATCTTATAAACCAATAACAATGGTCTTCTCAACACTCAAATGCTTTATTATGTCAAGATAGGATCAGAAGTCTGGCTGCGAACTTGTTACTCGCGCCAGGTATGCAAAAAAGCTGATTACATTATAAAATAACCAGGGGATGACTGTCGGATCACTAGTCAGTTTCTTCTTCCAGATCAGGTAGCTTTGTTGGTCCAAGCGGCTAGGTCTAGTACCTGTTCAGTCACACGTGACCCCGTTCTGTTCCTGTGCTTTCATATTCTTCATTGCTTTCGAAATCAGTAGATATCACATGGCATCAATGCCGCTATGCTTTGGGCCCGTAAACTTAACACCAATGAATAAATAGCTGACAACGAAGTTCCAAAAAGAAAAAGTCGAAGACCTTTATTAAGCAACGGTGCGTTACCTGACATTTGCTGTAATTAATGCTTGAGATGTCATTTCAGTATTTGGTAGAAAGGACATAATAGATATCGAACACATCCTCCTCAAGTACGTTTTAATGGCTTTTGCAGAAGTAGGCTAACATCTTTTCAAAGCACATTAACGATTGCTTATCCAAGCAAGCATGTATTTCTGAAAGCGACCGTTGTCCCTTGGATACTTTCATTCGACCTGGTCACCCATGTGCAGACTTGTACGTGCCGCACGTTAGAACACCATGTTCATCTAATCAATCTTGTTATTCTTTTTTTCTGCCTGGGTATGTTATATAATAATTACGTATTTTTCAACTTCGCTAAGCAATTGTTGCTGATGAAGCCACAGGGTTTTGCAGTATACATACCCAAAATTTGATTTTTTTGGGTTTATTTTTTCCCCAACATTTCCTCAAACCCGATATCGTGCTGCTGCTGTTAGAGTTTTATCTAAATATTTATTATGGGTGCGGGTACAGGTTTAATTAAAAAAAAATCCGTTGTTGGAATAACTCCTTGCGGAGAGCAGTGTTTCGTCCTGTTAGATAAAAAAAAAAAAAAAAGGTAACCCAAATATCTATAAACGACGTTTGCACCTAATTTGGTATGCTCTCTTTGGGATTAGTCTATTTACATGATTCCATTGAAATGTACGCCGAAGTAGGAGTTGAATCTAGATAGTTCTGGTGTTTCTTTAATTATTAAAGCCAATGGTGATTTATATTAATGCAAAGATTCTAGGACAACCCGGATAGCTCATTTCCTTCCTGGTTTTATTGAACGGACGTGGGCCTATAAGATCACGGCAAAAGTAGCAGGCCTGATAATCGCCTGAGATGATACTGCCATCAAAAACCCTAGGTGTCAATTTTTATATTCCATCCCATCATAAAGGATAATAATCTTGAAGACCGAAAGCTAAACCAAACACTATAACGAATCATAGTACAGAGATCGAGTCTATTATAATTCTGTACATTGTTCTATTAATGTATTATAATCGAAAACATTTGTGCCATCGAGAACGAACTTCCGCTTTTTTGAGGATGTTTCCATCAACTTTATATAGCAAACATGGACCTTACTAGTGATTTCTCACTTCATACTTGTACGTTCTTTTTGGCCTGTATATCAGATCCTTACATTGCAGTCGTACGCGGGTTCATTTAAATCTTGTCGTGTCTCTGATGATAAATTCAGTCATGCTAATTTCGCTATCGATGCCTATCGCCCTGAACTCGACTGATGAAGAGGACGCTGGAGCACTCATCCGACAAATTGTGAGCTAGTAATTTTTTCTTCTTCAAATACTATACACTTTGTTTGAATATTAAAAAAAAATCATTGAAATAGGATTTCGCGTTCGGTATTTTCCTTCTCAAACTTATCTGTTTTAATTAGTTTTATTTGATAGTACAATATTGATCTAGGAAAAGTGTGCCTTGAAAGGCACACTTTTCTTAGATCAATATTGTGCTGTAGGACCCTATACGACTGACGTTTTGAGGATCATCGAAGCGGACTCACTCATATTCTAAACTGTACATTTATTTCTTGTGAGACTAACATATGCATCATGATCTAGTCACTTCGAGGACGCCAATAGCCCGTACATCTTCATTCGAGGTAGCCTAGATCATCATACGGTAACGCACAGATCAAGCTTCTGCGTTTCCACTTGCTAGCATTGAAAAAAAAAATGTTTATTTTGGTGTTGCTCGATTTAAGTGATGGCTCGTTTAGTCTAGGCTCAATGTTCTTCGTTGGAGCCCCGCAATTTGATTCAACGTCCACTGAGCGTTAGTTTGAACGTAATATAATGTATTAGATGCAGATTGTATTTATCGCCATTAGCCATCAATCTTAATCTAAAACTACCTGTCGTTGAAAATGCTTCACGATCAGCATCATTGTCCCCAACAGAGAAAAGAGAAAGCACCATACCGACAGAAGTGTAAGCTGGCATACGTATCATCTTCAATTATACGGAACGGTTTCTTTTCATGCAAATGAAAAATGCTGCAAGAAGAAAGTTCCATTAAAAGCTAGCCGTGTTTATTGTTTGTTTGCAAGCCTGCTTGCATTTACGGTGCCTGTTTCTTTCTAGCATATCATTGTTGTCATTCAAAATGAATAAATGAATTTGATTGATTGATTGATTGATTGATTGTTATTTCATTCATTTTGTTCCTGATGAGATACCTTCATGATACATAGCCATGGTTATGCAAAGCTATCCTCGTGTTCAAGATGTACTCATCGTCGTCATCGATCAACTGGATGTTCGTCGAGGGACTTCTGCTTCATTCACGAATTACTACCTCGATCTTTCAAACTAAGCCCGCGCCCTTTAAATTGTACCACTTCATTGGATGGGGTGCGTAATAATAATAGGAATATTATGTAATAACTTGTTGTCTGACTTAGAATGGCTTCAACGTGATAGTTTTAAGCGAATCCGATTTTTAGTTACATCAAATTTTGCCCGCAATTGCAAAACCCGCAATGGGTTATAAAGAAAATGAGATTTATATATATATATATGTTTTTTGTGGATATAAGGGATAGCTTAGTCGAAAGCTGGTCCAAGCTTGTTCAAGTTAAAATCTATATTACGGGTCGCATGAAGATGCTGTGAACAAATCGCATATAGCAATTAAATTCTTCGATAGGCTATTTGTTAGATTTCCAGAGGATCTGTACTTTCTATGTTATGTTAATGTTTATGCAAGTGTCTGTTTGGTAACTTTGGCAATACATATACATAAGAACTTTGTCTCAGCGAGGTCCTACATGTCTACCCTATAACCCAGTAGGGCCAGATGGTTTTGCGTGCATAACAGGGGGGATATACCGGATAGATGGACAAGCCACAAGCATGCCGTCTTAAACCCAGTTAATCTCGAATACAATAAAAAAAAAGGGACGAATTAATTGAATAACTGCTACGCTAACGGCCGACAGCCAGTAACAGAGTGACAGGAATAAGGCATCCATTCAAATACGAATCTACGAGCAGGAGTTCCCTTGGCTTTCTGCATCCCGTGGGCAATCCAGATGGAAGAGGCAATGGGCTCCTCCACTTGTTGGGAGGGTTACGTCTATTCGTCCTGGCTGTGGTTGATCATCGCTCCACGACTCGTTGCAGTCATTGTGAGTACGGCTATAATAGACATAACAATTATTTGTTGTGTATATTAAGTTGAGAAAAGTGTTAATCTAGATTTTTTTCACCCTGTTTTTCCGTTAGTAGTCGTTTGCTTGATAGACCCAGGCTGCAAATTTCGAATCTCGCACACCTACCGACACCACTTTGATTCAGCACGTGATTTCAGCTGTACCAACATGAAACGAGAACACGCTGTGGAATTCAAGCTAGATGGGCTATTGTTTGTCGGTAGGACTCTGGAGAAATCTAGTTGATTGTACGTCGCCCGTTATAGCCATAGGTCGGCATAGTCAGCCGATACCGACACGGACTTACGAGTGAACGTAATGCAAATACCATGTGTAAAAACAGATAAATCACATATTTTTCCTATAATTTCCAAATTGAAAGTCAAAAACCAAACATCTATTGCGCTATTAGGCAAAGCAAGCGAACTTGCAAAACCGCTACCAAATATAGAAAACGCCCCGTATTTATTTGGTGTATTTTCATGAAGTTGAATCGGTTTTATTATATATTATGAGTCCCATAATAGTTGTCTTGTTTTGTGAATAATTTATTGAAGACAATTACGTTAACGACAGTGCTGCAGGCTAATTGAAGAAGTTGGTAAGTAAGTTTTGAGAAGATTTGAAGGCTAGATTGGAATGATCTGGTTCAAAATCTAGCACGGCTGGTAGAGCGATTGGCGTTTCTCGTCGAACCCTATGACATTGAACATAGTAGACTTTGAAATAAATCTAAATGTAGGTACAACGACTTTTGCCAACTGATTTATGGGCGCCAATTTAGCGGATTTTACAGCCGCAGCGAAGAACTTAAGCAATTTGTTTGAGGTGGAGACTTACTGGCGTGGCTCGTTTGAATAGGTTGAATAACAACTATCGGAAGGCTCGATCAATAGCAAGGCTTGCCCCTCTTACAATTCAAATCACCTAAAGCGTCATTTAGTACCTGTGATTTTCACTGCAAGAGACCTAAGCAGAGATATAGGAAACAGGCGATGTTATAATTAAACCGTTCATCAATATACTTTGCTTTCAAAGTTCGAACTTCAAACATAGTAGCACAAAAGTGTCATTCCGTCACGGCTGTCCTTTCGCCAGTACTCATGACAGGGTAATGTTTTAAATATGATCAACTTGTTGTTATTAATGGCTCCTTTTACATCACATGTTCACATTTACACGCGTCACACGAATTATAGTAGACGTTTACTCATGTAGACGCACACAAACGGCAGCAAGGGATTGCAGGAATGGTGGTATACGGGTCGACCATTTAGTGCCAATGGCAGTGGTACGTGTTCAAAGGACGGCCTAAGCGGATTTGTTCCGCTCTCCAAACTAGGGGAACTACATGTCGAGGTGCCTGAAGAGATCAGATTATTAAGACGAAGTCACTGGTTGAAGCGTTTTCGGCCATTTGCGGACACACATACTAGATCGTGCTTGGATTTCGAATACCGAATTTGCCTTGCTGGCCTCCTTACTGAATTGATCGATTATTGGTTCCGCCCAAGCATTTGCTTTAATGCGACACTAACAATCATTCCCATTTCGTCACACGGTGCAGGGAGGCCGTGTTCGCAGATTTCGAGCCCCAATGAGACGAAAAATTGTTTCGGCCAAAGTTACTTCTACGGACAGGTTACAGTTCTGTAGCCGTTTGCAGATTGTGATCGATGATTGCAAATTTATCAGAGCGTTATTTCTGCACGCCTCGAAATGAGCTTCTTATGTTTACACAGATGGCACGTAAAAGGACAACAACAAACACTCTGAGACATTTGTTAATTGCAAAATTGACTCGTATTTTTGAAAATCATAAGGAAAGACCAATTAACTTAAAGTCCACAATAGGTCAAGAAGTTTAAAATACTCACGTGTCACGATTGTTTGCGCGCAGCTGTTGGTCTTGTTGCCAGACAAGTATCCCTTAATAGTTTGTCTAACTTAAGCTGCTTTTTGCACTACTGCGACGTATCCGAGTTACGCAACGTAACGTTGTCACTCGGTCGCATCCTTGGCTTCAAAATAGTGATCCCGATCGTGACCAGTTTAACGCCTGATATAAGGCATAAATTACAATGGAGCGTATTAAAAATCATAGTGGTATTGGCAAGTAGGGTGCCAGGGTCGCGGGCACGAGATTTCGGACCCGACCCCCCGCCGCTGATTCATTCGAATTATTTGAACTCTTAATATCAGCTTGTCCGTTCGGTTATCTAACAAAATCAACTAAGCTTATTTATCAGTACTAGTCTCACTTGAATACCTGTTCATCCTATGTCGAAATTGATCCTCTCAACGCTCACTCAGCCATTCGAATGTCAATAGTATCTCGTTTATACATTTCTCAATTTCGTTAAAGGCTACGTGTTTCGTTAGCTGTTGTTTACCGTAACGAAAGTAAAATGAAATCAAGGACAGCTTTTTGTGGCCTCATGCCTGATACGGTTAGCTCCCAGTATGAAATATCTACTATTGAACAGATTAATATCAGCAGCGTAAACAGAGGCTTTAGACGGAGAATTATCGTATAAGTACTCCAGCTCCATGATCTCGAGGCTATTTGTAACTTCAGTTAGAACGCCAGTCAGTTTTATGATGCTAGCGTTGTTTTGAGGGAAAATGGCGTTCATTCAAATGGTGCCTGTCTCCTATATACAAACGGCTATGAATTACTGTGTTCTCGCCACGTAATGGCGATCTTAGAATTAACGCCGATGTAGTAATTTCTGCAAATTTCAATTTGCCAGTACAATAGTGCCATAGTTCAATATGCCGCTATCCTATTACACGAATGTTCTGCTGGCATCTCGGCACAAATGGAGACAACCAAATCCCATAAGAATATGACGTCGTGCGTTCGGCAAGGGGTCCTTTTCAAGTCGCTAGGCCACACAAAATGGCTGACTCGGTCATTTATGAATATATTTGCTGTGCCTCGTTGAATATTACTGATGATACGTCCTGCCCTGACCTAAACAATTTACTTGTCTAGCGTAAATATCCGAGAAAATGACTAATTAGCGTGTTATTAATTCATTGGATAGAAACATTTCTGCATTGTATTATGTAGTACTATTAAAGATGCCATTTGTCTCAAAAACCTTTCCGATCACAGCTCTCCACCATCTGTGGCAGGTTCCAATACCATTTGATATAACTGCATCAAAACTTGTCCATAGAAAGGGTTCGACCACATTGTCGATCGACGTATATGCCTAAAGCCTTCCTGTTCTAGCTTTCTCCGGATGACTGACTCTGGTCGATTAATCAGACGTTTCTCTAATAGACACGTGTTCTGACATGTCAACTTCAACCATGTTCCATCAGTTTTTAGGAGTCAAATTTACACCGCAAATTACGGTACAGTTGTTCGCGGTTTTCAAGATGGTAGTATGTATCAGCTCCCTAAGTCACACTGGAAGTCTCTACCGAATTATTCATTAACTACATAAAAGCAAGTAAAGATAATTCTGCAGAGAAGATTTTTTGATAAACAATCTGTCCCTATTAAGGACACCCGTTAGAGTTCTATATTGTTTTATTGTGTTGTACTTGTTTCCCTTGTTCGTTTGTTACATATAAAAAATATTGATTGGAAAATATTATGTTTGTTTACAGGTTAATTTTATATTTCTTGTGAACATTATTCGCATACTCGTGACACGAGTAAAGGCTGTCTCCGTAGAAAACACGCAGTTCAAGTAAGTTGTCCTAGGCCGAAAACCTGTTTATCGTCTGTTCCTGCCTCGTTGAGATAGGTCGTATTAGCGAATGTGTTGCCATTCGATTTGGCAGACAATACATTTCAGTCTATTCTAACATAAGCGATAGGAGGAGGTTCTGCATAAAGAATTCTACAATCGTAAGCTTCGAAGCATCATTGCCTAGCTCATTTAGCTCAAAAGAGCCATAGCTTTTATTCGGCGGATATGATGGCCTGTGACCCCACAGAACTGTCGGGCTAGTTCTTTGGTTTGCGGTTGGCGATTCGACCTAACCTGCATAGGTTCGACTCTAGGAAGGCGACCAAGGCGACGGTCCTGCTCTTCCCACTGCTCGGGCTCACACATCTCCTCTTCTGCATCAATCCACAAGAAGCGGAACCCAGACTCAGAAACATGTACATGCTGACCAACAGCATTCTTCAGTCGTCGCAGGTCAGTATAATTTACGTAATTGCCATTCAAATTTACGTTACTTTTACTCTATATTATTTATTGTTACTATATCTGTTTATTAGATAATAGTCGGACAAACATGCGTAGCGTTATTTGCGTTTTGCACACAGATTGCAATATCTGATGTTGTTTTATTACAGTCACTAGCTATTAGATAAGCATGTTAGCGTCTGCCGATTTTACACATCTGCTTGGTAAAGTACAACCTAGACGGACACCTTTAGACCAAGGTTTGGTGAGCTTGTAATGTGACTTTTTCAGAAAGTGAAACTAAGACTCTCGATCAATAATACTAATCCAAAGACACTAGCCCATCCCGATAAATTGCCGTCTCTAGCCCCTGATCCATTTTGTCGTTTTGTTAGGCCTTTTAGGATTGTTTTCAGTTAGTCCTACCATCAAGAGTGGTTTCGTTGCATTCTCGGTCACGGTCATACGAGACAAAAGCCGGATAATAAATTACCTCCAGAAGCTGACCGAATGCTAATACATGCCGGCCGTTGAAATGATAGGACGCATAATCATCTGGGGTTTAACGCTAAGCTCTACGTGTAGATGAATCCTACCGTTCTCGGCTAATACGTCGCTTCCTTGTAGTTGAAATAACTTCTCTATAATATAACTCTTCTAATAATCTTCTTTATATAGCATAATCGTTACATTCTTGCTTGCTAGCTTAACATACGCCCTCGTATGCAACGCAGACTTGGGAATACATTTTAAATTAAATTAATTAAATTAAATTAAAGAAGTTTATGCAACAAGTTGCCTATCGTGTTACAATACTGAAGTGTATTACATTGAGTGTGACAGCATGTTTCAATTTGTGCAGCAAAATAATGACTCCAACAGAGTAATATGTATCCTTGACCACTTGGAATAACTGCAAGTTCCGTGCAATAGTCGGTAAATACCTGTATGCTATTGGACGAACGAACTGCGACGGTTGCCACAACTATACGATACAAATTGTGTCTTTTTATTGAAAAATAAATTGTATATTGATAGAACTATTTTTTTTTAACATTTCTATAGCGCGGAATATCCTTTAACTTATTATCTCGAGAACTGAGTGAAAATCAGCGCCCACAGGCGTATTCTACCTGACTGTTGCCAACAGATTGTTCTTGAAAAAAAGAGCAAGCGTTGTTTGGAGGATCTAAATAAAAATGTGATTGATGGCTACCTTTTGCAGGTGAAGTAATCATTCAAATGGAGCAAACTTGGTGCTTTTAGGTTGGTTCTCAGAAAAATCGAAATGTTTGGAAGCTCCGGAACACCATATGCATTTTGATCGTTTCGGGTCATTTCTTGAAACACGCAGCTTAAGGCTGTTATCTTTCTATTGCTGGTCGACGCCTGCATTCGAACGAAACCCAAGAGGTAACTTGGTCGTTCTATTGAGAGTAAGCAGATCCGACCGCCACTTTTTTGTACTTAACATTTCACCAAGAACTAAAATGTCGACGATTTTACCGTCTTTGATTTGCGAGCTTGAGGTAGTTGCTCTAAAAATACTTGGTGCATTCTCTGCAATTCTCGCTGTCACACCCATGGTTTTATTCATGATGTTGATGCATCTCAATTTGTTGGTCTGATTTACCGTTCATAAGGCAGAGAGTTTCCATACACTCTGTTGCTCGGTAGTCAATCTCATCACGACACTGACTTTCCTTTAGAAGTTCGACTATCGATATATTTTCGAAGAACCTAACCAGCGACAGCGTAGAGCTCTGAAATCAAGATCACGCTCCGTCCGATGGAACAAGCATTCGTGCTCAAATACCGACAGCAGATAGACCTCGATGTCCAACTATGCAACCTATCGAACGCTCCGTAGCAACAAGCCTCTGGAACGTACTTACAAAGTTCGCTTTGTATCTGGCGCAGTGAATGCTGCAGTTTATGCGCAGTATCTAGTTAAAGCTCTCTAACTGACGGTACAGCCTTCCTGTCCACCTTGAAATCGTAGGTTGGAATCCAGCTACATTTGCAGCGATGCCCGGAGGGCCCAGGTGGCCGTCAGGCTTATAGCCGATGTACAAATCGAGTTCTATTTTTAAGCTTTCGCTTTTAAGACGATCTATCTAAAAACGTACGCGTCACATAGGCAGTAAAAATACCGCGGATGCCAAGAGACCCGTTTGATCGCCGATGCAGAGCGTCAACCGTACAAGTGACTGGCGCATCATAGTACCTCTATGACTTTCCCTATTAGATCATTAGCCTTCATGAATCATCTTTCAGGAACGTTTGCGTCAAGGAATACGGCGCGACGCGTGGTGCCTTTTTTTGCCATAGTGTAGGGATTTCAATACAACGTGATAGCCTTCATCAAGCCCTTGCAGAATGAGAAATAATGCCGTAAGAACTGAGGTGCTACGGAACAAGAATGCCACCGGTACAGATGAGATTTGTACGAACGTCTCAAGTGTACTGGACGGCACTATTAATTAAATCTTTATACATCGGTACACTCTCAGCCTACGAAGAAGTACTACCCTGCGAGTGATGCTTAGGGGGCAATTCAACCGCGCTTACATTATGGCGCAGAGTAGCAAAGAAAAACATTTGTTTTTCTCTGACCTGCTGACTAAGAGACTGAACAGCTACATAGAAAGTGCACGTGTTAATTCAATGAAGCAGCGTGAATCAGCGTTAAAAGGGTACTGGCGCAACTCGCTACATGCGGTGTTTGCTTACCTAAGGCCGTCTTCGACCCGGTGTTCAGGAACGAGGTAACCGTGACGTTAGCCACGATGTGCGTCCCTATGTACTCAACCTTCTGGCTGCGATTATCTAGGTGAACAGAGTAATCATCGACGACGGAGCGGCCGAACCCCCACCTCTTATTCCCCAGACCTGCCTTAAGGAGGTGACCTAAGTCCACTGTTACTCTTCATCTTATTAAATAGCCTCCTTGATAAAATAAGGAGGCTGAAAAAATCAGCCGAAATAATCTTGTATGCAGATGAATCAGTGATATAAGGACCGAGTAAGTTCCAAAAACGGCTCCACGCGGCAATGACAGATTTGGGGCTGACCGTTAACCCGCTCAGGATGCAGGCGATGAAGTTTAGAAGGACAAGCAGCACAGCGGCCAGTGATACGTTGTACCTTTCAAATTGTTTTTTGCCGGTAAATTTGTGTCCGTGTTCGAAGTTTCTAGTCTCCGCGAACGGCAGAAATTTTATGATGAACGTCGTCAAAGATGCAAAAGAGTATGCAAAAGTATCGGCCTTATGGATGGTCAAATCGCTTCATTTTTCAACCCTTACAACCGTTTTTACTTTGTTCGATCTCAAGCTAGCTCCGATCACGACATACAAGATACAGATTATTTGGGAAGACCTAACAGTGGAAAAGGTCGAACAATTTAGTGTTCGAGCTCACACCTCAAAACCTCCGTTCTAGAAAAAAAAAAGCACTAGAACTGCATATAATGACCCCAAAATATACCCGACTTGCTACTGCTGTCGAACGATCTGTTTGTCGCTTTTAGTTCTCGGTGACAGAAGCCTTCAAGGCGAAGACGGAAATTTTTTTGCTTCGAGTACGTTGAGGAGCAACAAATGAAAAAGATCAGTCGACTGAAACGGCATGCTCAACCGGATTCGCTGTGTTGTGCATGGATTCGACCACGAACCCCACAAGAAGCAAGGTTTCCACGAGTCTAGCGATACATATAGTTCTTCCAGATGCTGTTTCTCTCTAGTACCATATTTCGCACATCTGGCAAATGTCCTAAATAGATTCGATCAGACTCGTATATGGCGGAAAATGTTTCTTCATATTCTCTCCGATATCGCGCTATGGACCTGTAGTTATGAAGTTTTTGACTATTGCCAGCAAAGGTGAATAAGTGGAATCTCACTAACTGTTTAGCTTGTCGGAGTTAACTATGTCGGATGTAATTGATTGAAACCAATGTGACTGGTTCTGGTATTAACTCCGATTTTGTCTATTATCTGTGTATATACAGATTTATTAGTAGACCAGGTAGACTAATATCTATTTATAAGATACTCAAAACATTTCCTTTTTTACCCCAACAGGACCTGCCGTCAGCGACTCCTGGAGTATACTATTACTAGAAAAGTGCCAAACAACATAATAAGTTTCGTAACGATAGGGATTAACTCAGCATCAGGACGCCAGATTCGAAACTAGGCTTCATCCTAGTTCGATTCCCAGTTTAGACCCAGCAATTATTTTAAAAAGTTGGGGTTTTCTGCTTTATGGATGGAGGGAAAAGAGTGATTTTCAAACATGCGACACTGATGTTGTTATTGATAGTATTAAACACATGCACCAGCTGAGCACTAGGCCAAGAAGGCTCGCTGTTGAAGAGCACTTATTTTCTCGTTGCTTATTAAGCATTAAAATACTTTGTTTTTGTTTTATGTTATAAGGATTCGTTCCTATATGTAGTATTCGAAACCATTATGAACCAATCATTTGCGACAGGTTCTATTAGATTTCCATTGCTTATAGAACTGAAAGGAAAATTTTAGCCTCATCAAGTGTTATAGATTATTTATATATATATTTGCGTTGGAATACACTTTGCAGAGTATACACATATAGAAACAGGTATCCTCTGTATATGGTCCTAATAGAACATGTTACATCCATGTTGGTAACTTGATAAACGAAATCTTATCTCGTCAAGTTCTCTTGAAGCGTGTCCTCGACTTCTGCATGAGCAGTATAGTGAGACCTATTATGATGCAGAGAATTACTCACATTAATGCGTTTGAGGATATTAGGGTTGCGTTAGACTCAACGTTGGCAGAAACGCCAATTTTCTTAAAAATAACGTTGTTGAATTCTTATAATTACCTGAGGACACCAAAAACTATGTACTATATATACTCCACTCCATCGAGTTGAAAATAGGCTTAGGTAAATGCGAGTGCACGTCCTACCCATATAGGAATATATATGTATAAACATACATATTTTGCACGTGGACCAAAACCTCTCGACCATAACACGTGTATTATGTGCGGTAACGTGATTTACGTCCGGTATCGCCGTCAGATATTCCATCAGACGGACGGCGTGCTCCCAACACGAAACGATCCGCGGGTTTGAACCTAGGCCACATTGTGCCCCCCAATTACGTTACACGTTAAGCCACTACGGTGTTAATGGCATAAATCATAAGTATTACCTATGGAACAGATTATGTATATCGCTTCTGCAGATCCAGTGGACTGCATGCTAATGGTGCGGAAACCACTTAATACACCTGAAATAGTACATAGCTTAAAAAAATAAAAATTATTCTACATATAGCAGATCATATTTGGCTGTTACCAATAAAAATACGTTCTTTGTATTGCAGGGAATTTTCGTGTCTGTGATCTATTGCTTCATGAACTCGGAGGTAAGGCCGAAAAAGGTATTTGCCTTTAGCTATCAATAGTCTTCTTTAATGGTTTTAGGATCAGCCGTAAAAAGTATAGGCAAAAAAAAAACGCTGTCCAGTTTGGTGGCGCATGTTGATCAGGTACGAGAACAGCTCATTATACCCATCCTAAAACACTATCGCTACTGCAGCACATGTATAGTCTCGTCTTGTAAATCATTCAGACAACAGACAACAACGGGAACGCAATGGTGGACTACATTATAGCAATTTTTTAATGTCTGAATTTAGTGTTTGTCACTATGTTTTTTTTCTAGCTAGATAAACATTATGAATCGTCTCTCTGGAAGGGCTCAGATTTGCTACATATATGGCTTATGTCATGTAATTTTTGTGGATCTATATTTTTATTTTTAATATGTGCGCATGGACTTTTGGGTGTTTTATTCCCTGTCTTTGATTTAATGATAGGGCTAGATATCATAAGATTATAGTTTTTTCTGTTTGTTCGTCAATTTTTTTTTTGACAAAATGAATACGTTGCCAAATCTATGAGCTAGGCAACTGTTGTTTGTGTCAGACATATTGTTATAGCACATATACACGGTTAGGTAGAATAGAAACTGAATCAGAGCCCAAGCCCGATCCCTTTTCAAGAAATGTTAACGATTTTGTGTTATTACAAGACATTTAGGAAGCCTGAGCTCTATTTGTGGCTAATGATATGCCCAAGTAAACGATGTTTCACTTATATATAGATGTATATTATATATTATATAGAAGATATATTATATACACTTATATATATATATATATATATATAAATGACTTAGAAGAATTCATCTTATTGAAGAATTAAAGCTGTTCTTCAAAAGCACCTCCTCTGTGCACTTATCACCAGTATTGTCATCACTGATATGAACGCTTCTATTCCATATGATTGCCACTATGCATGGATATATAAGGACATATTGTTGAAATATCTATTGGATAAGTGTTTTAGTGTTATCTGGAAAAGTTAAACTACGGCCAAAGCCTCAAAGAAATTGGCCTGAAATTGCAGCTTTCCTAAGGTTAGAGATACCGCAAAGCTATACAACCTTACCAGATGTGCTCCAGTCATTTCGATTCGAACTTAAGGCCGCAGCAGTTTGAAGAATAACGCTATATATACGTTCTGCTGCATTCGCGAATCGATAGGTGCATGCTTACCGGAACTCTTTCAAATCACCGCTCTAATTGATTAACGTCGGAAGTTCAAAGAGGTTAAGAGAATGAATCATAAATTGATCTCTTCAGAACGTCATATTCCATTGAGTTGTTCGATCCTCACAAATTTCGTACTTGGTTGATCGGCATCGTGTAATATGTTTCCTTTGCGAGATCCAGTATCTGCTGGCAGGTAATCTAGGAAGCCACTGCTCCAGCAATCATAAGCGTCCTCGTCATTCTTTATGGAAAACGGAAATAAAGTACCCAGGAAGCTCAATTTTTGTTGGTCGTATTATGTGCTCATAGGTGCAGGCTTGTCTTCGAAATGCATATTTACGTGCCGTGCTTCGACGGAATCCAAACCAGCGATCCTTGCTTAGAGGAGGGCATTCACAGACGTCAATATACCTCACACACTTCAGCCATCGTCACAATCAGCATCACATTAATGGGTCGTCGAACACCACAACAGGTCATAATCTGCAACCAGCCAGTACAGCAGCAGGTGAAAAAAAGGTTGACAGGACAACTTTGGATAGGCATCATAACCGGATAAACAACTACGGCAAGGTAATTGCTACTGACCTATACAATAAAGTGCGTCACTAGCTATGGTTAAAAAACGTTTCGTTCCTAGCAGAGAAAATTACTTTCAATGACTATTTTTTAGTCCAGAAAGTTAACTGGAAACACGGCGTCTGACCATTGTCACTTCATCACAAGTCTATGGCTAGCGAAAATTAATACCTTCGAAAGAACTTTCTTTTCCATTCTAGAGCAGATATTGTATGGTGCTTCTACAGTAGTAAGAGCATTCTATTTGGCCCTGTTTGTCTGCCTTAGGATACACATCACAGAGACACACAGGATAGTTCAAAATTGGTTTATTCGATTTAATTATATAGAACGTAAGTAGGAATACACGCTGTCAGCGCTTCCCCAGCGTGCGAGTTAGATTCATTCAATGTACTACTGTTTGGAGATCTTCACTCTATCGCTGATTCTCGCTACTCGTAAATTAAAAAAAAAAAAAAAATCTTATTACATAAAAGCTTCATTATTTATACTTTTTTTTATATTAAAAATTTTCCAGTTGTCTGAAGTTCTTAAGCTTTTATTTGATCCCTAAGCTTTCCAAGCCGTACACCGTACATCGTACAATTCTTGCCACGTCCGCTCTTGTTATACTCAACAGCGGCATCATTTCGAGCTTTTTATCTCTCAGTGTCAATCTCAAGACCAACATTATACGAATTTGAGTGAGTTTACAACAAGTTCCTAGAATATGTTAAAAAAATTATCAATAAATATTTTAACAACCAAGAACGCTTCACATTTTCAGGTCATGTCTACAACGCCATATTCAAAAGTAGGCCTCAATTGCAAATTCAGGATTACATCCCGTATTTTATGTAACTGCTAGAAATGTTTATAATAGCAATATTATGAGCTACTAAATACCACAAAGATAACGTCACGTAAACATAAGTAGTCTCCGTATGTTTCTTCCCACTGTGCACTTTCGTGCACAAAAAACGTGCACTAAAAACGAAAGTGCACAAAAGTGCACTTTCGTTTTTAAGTTCGCTTCAACTTTTTTGCACACTGAACGATAATCATTAGGCTCCAAAAGCCCTAAGGATTTCAAATGGAAAAAGGTGCATTCTCGATATCTGCCCTATGTCGCCTCCTTGCTGTGGTCAAGCAGCACGGGGTACTGGTGCAGTGTATAGGGAGGATTCCACAAATGAGAGGACTTCTCGGAAGGTCTGGAAGGTTCAAGAATGGTATCTTAAAACTGCAGGATTTACTTTCGCCCTGATCAACCATCTGAAAGTTATTAAGACAGATTAAAAGTGTTTTTAAAGGAAGACGGGCAAACAACTGTTTGTAAATTCAGTAAGAACATAAGCAGCAGCCACACGACTATCGACAGCTACTTTAAATAGATTGAATTAACCGAAAAAAAATCAGAGCTTATGGCCTCATGATTTTAAGTGAACGAACACGGCTTCCTATTGTCCTTCAACGTCCTGATCACCACTGGGCAATATGCGGCCACAATAACAGGTTTCTATTTCTATGTAGCATTGTCATCGGCCACGAAAAGTGGTATCTCCGTGCTGATATAAAACAGACAAACGAATGGGTCATTTTGTGAGATATCTAAAGTTCATTTAGACCTCTGTTACATAATGCAGTGACTCGCGCTTCGTCACTTCGAGTGACTCGCGGAAGAACCTTGAACAGTTGAAAATGTTTGAGAGGGACGGAGCGGTCCACACAGAGCTGCACACAGCCCCCTGCATAGAGTGAACAAAGCTATCCAATAAAAGGACTTGGAAACAAAGCCATCCTCCTATAGGACAATATCAGGCTGCACACGGAAAAATCCGTAAAAGTCATCCTACCAGAACTTGAACGGAAGATTCCTATAGCCCCCATATTCCCAGGCCCTCTCAAGTGAAATTCATAATCTATACATAATAGTTTTCCAATAATAGAGCTCAAATGAGTTGGATGGGGAGTGGCGAGTACCGAATAAATTCAACGAATAAATTCGTTGAAATAATCAATAGGAAACGCTGTGTAAAATGAAAAATAAAAATTCTAATCAAATAATATTACTGCTATTATGCTGCAACAGTGCCATTTTATGAGGCTATTTACGTAAACTGCTCCAAAGTATGCCCCATTACTACAGGTAGACTAAGTTGCAGTTTATAAAGACCAACGAAACAACTACCGCCCTACGGCTCTTTTAACATTTGGACAGTTACTAAGAAATGTCTTAATCACATTGGCAGTCTTATAATAAACATTTAAAAGTCACGTTCACTTTATGAAATCTTTTAAACGAATGTTACCGCAGCTGTCTACACAATCTGCACCGAATTTACGATGTTTCGCTTAATTTCCTACCTAATCGATATTTACTCCTGATAAATCTGAATTGTCCACCCCCCAGCTCGAGGTGCTTGTATATATGACCTCCAAACGATGCAGCAACAGATATATTTGATATTGTCCCTTTCATCTGTATAATATAATTGAGCCTAAAGAACTCCCATGGAAAACTCCCGAAGAACGAATGCCTAATTACAAAAGGTATCATTTGTGCCTTCCGTAAAAGGGAACTTAAATAAGCATGGTTATCTAGTCGACTTCCCGTCACCATTTAATAGCCTAGATTAAAAAAACCAACTGACAAATTTAGGTATTCTCACTTTATTCGACTTCTTCTTAAAAGCTACCACGGTTAGCTACTTCTTCAAAGCATCAGCAATTTTTACATTTTACAAAATTTATAATATGCAAGCTAAAGTGGCTCATGAAAGCCACACCTTTTAAGTACCCGGAGGTCGTCAACAAACCTACAGTTATTAGATGTTCTCTTCTAACCTCATTAAAGAGCAGGGTATTATCAGCCCTGAGGTGGTGAGAACTACTCTTTCACATAAACCGCTGACAGAAAGTCTTTAAAAACTATCTCGTGTAAGTTCCAACTTATGAACTTGCTACCATATTATTTCTTCTAACAATTTTCTTCCATTTATCCGCTCAGAAACAACTAGGGGAAACTTTTAAAACTAAGATTTGATTTTTCCAAGATTCTTCCTTTCAAAAACAATTCTCGACTTAGTATACAGAGTCGAGCTGTAAGTAAGTTACTTGACGTCTCGTGATGTGAAAGCAGATTTTTCTAGCCGTAGTTGGTTTCAGTTCTGTCATAGTCACCTTTACAAAAAAGATCTTAGCCCCTGGTGGCAAAACAAAATCTAAGCATTATGATCAGAAGTAGTATAATTGGTTTCAAAACTGACAACTTTTAATTTAGAGGAAGGTCTGTTGTGGTTGAGATACCTGTCGTAGTTGCGTCCTTGAAGATATTGTATTCGTATAAACATTAATTCATTTCACCACTCGAAATGATAAAATATCAAATAACGATTTTTACCTAACAATAAACATAAACTTTGCGGAAAAATTTAAACCAGATAGGTGTATAGATGCTTCCACTACGAGAATCATATGATTCTCCCTTTGAAGTATATATGTGTGTAACCAGGACTCTATGATTATTTGTATATATATTTTTTTAAAAGAATATGAAAACATTTAGTAAAGTTTTGACGCTTGTGCGCTTTTTTTTTTAAGGCACACGTCATTTTCTCTGACATTCCGGGACTGACTGAGAGTTTAGAGAAAATGTCGCTATTCAACCTCGAACGAGGTAGTAGCAAGAGTGAACGGGGACGTGTAGTGGTATGTGTTGTTGCGGTATATATACATATCACAACAATGACTAGGTTCGATTGCTTGTGACATTATCTATAGATATACAATACCCACCAACTGGTCGCAATACAACATATTACAACAATATCGCTGTTCACCGATTTGAACGCGGCCTGCGACCCCGCGCTTCAGGACTCCTTACAGCAGCGCTTGCCAAAATCTATGAATATGCTTAACCTTCTCGATACGATTCCATAGAAAAATAAAATAACTATCGACAAGTAACCGAACTTTCGCTTCTCACAGAGACAACTTACCAGGCTCCGCGGGGCGACCTAAGCCCACTCTTATTCTACATCTCGTTGAAAGGCTTCGCTGATCAAATAAAAGGGCCAAGGGAATCGTGCACACGACTTAGATGTAGACGGGTCGAACCGGTTTGTAATGGAACACGCCCTCACCTGGCTCCATGGGGCGGTCACAAATTTAAGACTGACTTAAAACTTCACCAAAATAAAGGCGATTTGGCACCTCGTGAAACGGCCTCTTGTTTAGGTAAACCGGTATCAAAGTTGCTATTTTCCGTGAACGGCAAAAGTCTCACTGATTAAAAGACGTAAGCAAGAGTTCAGCTTGGTCGCATGGCTCTCGGAACTGTTGTCAGCTTAAGGTAGTTATGATCACAGCACATAAGACACGCGTTGGCTGGGAAGATCTTACTGTGAAGGGAAAACATTAAACAATTGAATATCTTTAAAGTATGCCGCCTCAAAAGAACACAGTGACTACACTAGTCTTCCCTCTGAACCGCCACTGCTGTTTGAAAACTTACGTTGTCGCTTTAAAACAAATTTCAGGAACCGAGAGTAAAAATTCACGGGCAATTCGCGTGAGATTTAAGTAGACGGCTAGGTAGATCTGTCGTCGCTTGCTTTATCGTAAATAGGTTCGACTATCGAATTTACCAGAAGCCAGGTTTCGATTTGACGATACGTGTAAACGTTCCATCCGGGGAAAGTTTTGTGGAGATCAAGCGGTTTGTTGCCCCCTAGTCTTATCCTATGGGCGTCTGAAGAATGTCCTAAATTAGTTTTATAACTTAACAAAACCCACACAATCCGTATGGAGCAGTGTTTCAATTGACACTTTCTGGACGTTGTGTTTGTCGTTTACTTTATATTTTGTATAGTTTTTGATTACTGGTGGTCAAAAGTGGGTAAGTTGAATTCTACTGATACATATTTTAAGTTCGTTTCTATATATATATATATATATATATATATATATATATATATATATATAGTTTAACTAAATTCGGACGTTTCCTTATG